GTCTGTTCTTCCAGAGGTGGAGAGTTTATAAATCTTAAATTATATATATATATATATATATATATATATATATATATATATAGAGAGAGAGAGAGAGAGAGAGAGAGAAAATAATCCTAGCACTCGGGAGGCAGAAACAGGCGGATCTCAACTGAGCAATTCCAGGACAGCCTCCAAAGCTACAGAGAAACCTGAGTGCTGTAATCTCAGCACTCAGGAGGCAGAAGCAGGTGGATCTCTGAGTTCATGGCCAGCCTAGTCTACAGAGTGAGTTCCAGTATAGCCAAGGCTACACAGAGAAACTGTCTCAAAAATCAAAACAACACAACAACAAGATGTTTTATAACCAACAAGTTGCATCCTTTTTAGTTCTGTTTCAAGTTTGTAAACTTGTTTGGGGCATATGCAAGAAATTGAGTGCTTACATCTCCTCCTTTGTAGTTTTATGAGCTCTCTATGTGAATCTCTCTTGGCTTTAATGATTTGTACTACACAGGCACTATTAGATCATTGTACTTATATTTGCCAAAAAGAAATTTAAACTTCAAAACTTTTTTTTAAATACCTAATTTATGTTTTACAGAACTGAAACCAGAGCAGGTGAAGAATATGTCTGCCAGTGAGGTATATACTATTTTATAATCATTTTTCTTCATTTGAATCCTCTATAAGACTCTAATTTTTTTCTAGTCCATTTCATTAGAAACAAGGCAATAATAACTTTGTTTCATTTCAATATATAAGGCTTATAAAATCAGTTACTGTGCTGTATTTAGTAATGGTCAAAAAATGTACAGAGGTGAGTGTAGTGGCACACGCCTTTAGTCCCAGTGAGTTGGAGGTCAGTCTGGTCTACAAAGCGAGTTCCCAGACAGCCAGACAGCCAGGACTGTTACACAGAGAAACCCTGTCTCAAAAAAAAAAAAAAAAGCATTGTAATTTCTCTTACCAAGTTGTGTAAGCACTGAATGAGAAGTTAGGAGGATCCCTAGGGGGAGATCTCAGTGGAGAGTGTGCCTTGCATGTGTAAGGACTGGTGTTGGGACCTCAGCAGTGCTAATAGGAGGAAGCTTCATGTGCAAGCATCTGACATGAGCAGCAGTCCCTCTCACGTTTATTGTGACCATCCCTTTTCCTTGGCGACGAACCTGGCACCAACTTAGCAGATATGTTTGTGGTAAATTGAAGGCAACTAATGTGCAGTCTTACAGAACTATGGAGAGAAAAACCAGAAGTATCATAAGTTCGAGACCAACCTGGTCTACAAGAGCTAGTTCCAGGACAGCCTCCAAAGCCACAGAGAAACCCTGCCTCGAACCCCCCCCCCAAAAAAAAAAAAAGGTTTGGGTTGTTGTCTTAGTTACTTTCCTATTGTAACAATACATCATGAGCAAGGTCACTTAGAAAACTAGCAATGTGACTAGCGTGGTGGCAGGCAAGCACAGTACTGAAGCAGAAGTTGAGTGCTCATGTCTTTTATCAGCAAGTAGCAGGCTGAAAGAGAAATACTGGACTTGGCATGGGCTCATTTAAGTTTGAAACCTCAAAGAGCACCCCCAGTGACACACTTCCTTCTATGAGGAGCAGTTCCACCAACTTCAGATCAAACATTCAAATTATATTAGGGTGGGGGGACATTCTCATTTAAACTAACACACTTACACATCCCAGTGGTCAAATTTAAGTATTTAGTAACGACAATGCATTAGCATACATTTTTATTATATAGCAAACTTGCCTAATATGTAATATAAAAATATATTTAGATGATTAGCATGATTTTCTAAAAATGTATCTGTATCTTATAAAATTAACAAAGTTCCATTTTAATCCATTGTTTGTGTATTCATCATTTCATGTCACTTTTTTTTTAAATCTAGATGAGAAATATTCGATTATCTGACTTCACAGAATCCTTAAAAAAGATCAAACGCAGTGTGAGTCCTCAAACCCTAGAAGCATACATACGCTGGAACAAGGACTTTGGAGACACCACTGTTTAAAGGAATGCCTTTGTAAGCCCACAGAACATTATACTTAACAAGAGACATGAGCTTCAGAGAAGTTATCACCTGCAGGAACTCAGACTTCGTTTACAGGACTTTTTAAGAGTTCCTTTTTGTGCACCAAACTTGAAGAGGAACAAGACAGACCTAAATAAAATATGCAATGTGAATGGAGTTTTTGTTTAAGGCCTTCTTGCCTGGTGGTCATGGTTTTCTCAGTGGGCACTGTTAGTTAGAGCACAGCAGAAATAGATTCTGGTTCTTTATTGATAGTAATCATTATGTAAATAATAATTTGTATATTGTGTTCAGGTAAAAGTATTCCAGAGACAGCGACTGGAAGACACAGAGAGCTGGCTGTTGTCTGTCTTAACACTATTTTCTGGTTTCCTTTCTGCTGTTACCTTAGCTCCCTGTGATTGGAATAACAAGTACTTGGAGTTCTTTCTGCTTTTCTTACCAACTCCAGTGTGCCAAATGGAAACCTTTTCCCATCTGTAGTAAGGAAGAGCTAACTAAAGCTTTTTCAACCTAGATATACAAACAGTAAACAGCTAATACCTTCTTTTCATGTTCTGTTTTTCTGTTTTATTGCCTTGCCACCAAACAGCTTAGAAAGCAATATAATAGCCACAGAGAAAATCTGGCATGACAAAGGTTTGAAGGTTTTGAGTCACTCTGTCATGTAACATGTAGATCAGTCCTTGTCTGCCCTGCAGTATTTTTTTCTAATATGTCAGAAATCCATTATAGACTTAACTTATTCCAGCTGAAATTCATTTTTTGTGTTGGACTTATTCTGGTATTTTAGAGAGCCACTTTCAACTGCTATAATTTGCACCAATATGAGAGAAGGGACATATTAGGAAGAAAGACATTTCTAGCTTATTGCTTACTACTTTCTTAATAGGATAATTACTAAATGCCAGTGGCACCACCATCTTTTTACTAATTACTGTCCCTTCCACAAAATTGAAAATACCGAATTTTTCTACACGGCATATATTTTATAGGTTTCCTGTGCTTACTTTTTAACTAAAAAGCTCTAGTCTGTTGATCTACCTTTTGTTTCCATAAATGTATAATAATTCTTTGTTGTTTGTATAAATATGGCTGGACTTTTATTATAAAAATGCATTATAGGAAGTAGAGGCTCATGTGTGGCCTTTTAAGAATTGTATCAAGGCAAATGGATATTTGCCCTTAGTTTACTGGTTAAAAGTTTGTTTACAGAATTTTTCTTTGGTGCTTAAATGATGCAGTGTAAATTATCATGGGTAGAAAGAATAATGTTGTGGTAGTAACACCAACCCTTCTTGTAAGAAAGATGTTTGAGAAAACACATTAAAACACTTGCCCTATCCCTGGATAAAAATTTTATGATAAAGACATACATCCTCAGTTTTACTCTTTGTCTTGTTAAAGATTTACCTAAGCATAGAAGATGTATTATTTCTTTGAAGTATATGCCATTTATAGCTGCAATTTAAGTCATGTCTCAATCATGATTTTAGACATCACTGAATGATAAAGATGAAAAGTTTAGATGAATAGGAAAACAAATTTAAACCACAGCTGTTTGGTTTTGGCTAAGTGTCTATTCTCAGATGTCAGAGCCTTAGTTACAAATACTGATGACAGGATCCTGTGACGAGAATTGCAGCAGTCCTAACCCAAAACGTCAACAATAGAGCTCTTAAAGTTCAGTTTGGTTTCATTTAGGAAGAGAATAATATCACCACTATTTATGTATTGAGATAGGCTTCAGCTCATTTTAAAAATAGAACGGCCATATACTTAGTTTATGATTCTTTGGGAAGGGTTTTAAGAGGTAACAAAATTTTCATGTGTCTAAAAGATAGAAAAGTCAAGTTAACCTAAATTGCTGAATCAGAGGTATTACTGTGTGACTGTCAGTGCGTATTAGCTCCTTTGTTCATCAGGTAGGAGGTTCAGCAAGTGAGAATACTTTGTTATGTCTTAGGACCCAGGTTTATTTTATCCTTTTTGTTGTTGTTTTTAAAACAGGGTCTCATGGAGCCTAAGCTGGCCTAGAACTCAATGAGTAGCCTAGGAATACCTTCAACTGATCTTTCTCCTCCACTTCCCAAGTGCTGGAGTGCCCATGTGCACCGCACACTGGGAGGGTTTTTCTTTTTCAGTAAGGATAGACGGTTTCCAAATTAATATTAGATATTATTTAATATTAATTTTAGATTTTTGCATTGAGCTCTGTTTACTGTTCAAGATGTTTAAAAAGGAAGGATTGGAGCTGGGCAGTGGTGGTGCACATAGAGGCAATCGGATCTCCCGAGTTCGAGGCCAGCCTGGTCTACAGACAACTGTCAGGACAGGCTCCAAAACTACACAGACAAACCCTGTCTGGAAACCCCCTCCCAAAAAAAGGAAGGATTGGTATGCTCTTCATGTTAACATGACAAGAGTCCTTGCATGCTCGGTGAACTTACTGATTACCTAACTGAGCCAAAGGAAAGCCTCATACCATCTTTCTAGATCTGCTAAGGCTACAAAGCTTTTCTGAGACTAGAAGCCAATTGAATTTATTTTTTGTCCTTTTGTGCTTACAGTGTAACAGGATAAACAGAATTTTAAGTTAAATATATGTGGCATTCTCTGTTGATAATGTAAACTGTTTATGTGTCCCACAAAATTAACTTTTTGTAGAATGAATTTACACTTTGCTTTTTGGATCCTTAAGGCAGAAGATTTTCCTTTAAATGTTTGTCTCAATTTTAGTCTTAACTTTTTACTTCTATAAAAGAAATGACTTTAAGGGGATACACAGCTGCATAAAGTGGGTTTTTATCCTAATTAATTTTATTGTAAATAAATGACAAACTTTGTTTTGCCTTAATTTTTATAGTTTGAATCTTTGATATTTCAGAAGTTGCAATTTGCTGGACTATTTGTAACACTTGTGTTAATAAACTGAACAAAATATACAAAGCAATGAATAGAAAGCTCTGGAGAACAACACAAAGTAATCAGAAGTGACAAAAGTGCATGTGTTTGAAGAGCTCTCTTACATGTCAGTTTCCAGCTTGTGCAATTCATTTGAAAATAAAAATTCAAGCAGAATGTAGCTGACTTGTTTAGATGAAGAGGTATTTCAGGCTTCTGAGGCAGCTGGAAATAAGGAAGGAAATCTTGGAAAGGCACGTGATAGGTAAGTCCACATCATCAGCAGGTTCTGATTCCTTTCAAGTCCTTGGTACTTTCCAAAATTTTACCTGTCTGGCAGGATTTTCAAAGCATCCCAGCAGATAGCAAAGGCGAAAGAATTGACCAAACTGAGCATAATCCTGTAATCCCAGCCCTTGGGTGGCTGAAGGAGGGTGAGGACTACTGGGAATTCAAGCCCAACTTTGATACATAGTAGTTTCCAGTCCAGCCTGAGTTTCTTAGACCCTGTCCCATAAAACAAATAATAAACCTGTCATGATGGTGAATGTCTTTAATCCCTGCATCTAAGAGTCAGAAGTGGGCAGACTTGAGTTCTGCAAAGAGAGTTCAGGCCATCCAGGGAGGGCTATCCACTAGACCAGTCTCAAAAACCAAAAGTAACAAAGAGTTTATGATGAGGAATGTTATTCTGTGTATATGTTTGTCTTATTGGTTGATGAATATAACTGATTGACCAGGCAGGATAATAGGTAGGACTAGGAGACAAAGGGGATTCTGGGAAGTGTAGGCAAAGAGGAGTTGTCATGTGATCCCAGGAAGTGACATAGCTGTGCAGAAACTACCACTAGCTAACCATAGAGGTCTGGAGGTTTGTACAGACAGGAAGTGATGTAGCTGAGCCGAATCAGAATATAAGCAGAGACAAACAGAAAAATCGCTCTCTTCTCTGCATGTCCATCCTTCCCCGGAAGCCAAGACCACATGGAAATACATAGATTAGTAGTTATGGGTTAATAATTAAGACAGAACTAGCCAATAAGAAGCCATAGTCACAGGCCAATAGTTTGATAATATAGCATCTGTGTGCTTCTTTGGGGCAGAGAAGGGTGGTAGGACCTGCCAAGCCAGAAACATTCACATTACAAGTACACAAGAAACCTGCTGTTTGAGGGTAGTGTTTTGAAACTGAAAATTGAAGCCTGGCAGTGGTAGGACATGCCTTTAATCCCAGCACTTGGGAGGCAGAGGCAGGTGGAGGATCTCTGTGAGTTCGAGGCCAGCCTGGTCTCCTGAGCGAGTCCAGAAACCTTGTCTCAAAAAACAAAACAAAACAAAAAGTTAAAATCCAGAATAGACAACATTCTCTGGAAGAAAATAGAATCCAAGTTTTTGGTTTTTTTTTTAAGTATTTATTATGTACACAACATTCTGCTTCCATGTATATCTGCACACCAGAAGAGGGCACCAGATCTCATAACAGATGGTTGTGAGCCACCATGCGGAAGCTGGGAATTGAACTCAGGACCTCTGGAAGAGCAGTCGGTGCTCTTAACCTCTGAGCCATCTCTCCAGCCCGAATCCAAGTATTTAAAGGAAAGTTGTGTGATCTACAATCAAAATACATGGAAACAGATGCACATATCACACACTTGGGAGATGAACAGTAGATTGCCTTGAAAATGTTAATTAACCTACAGAATAGATTTTTTTTTTTTTTTTTTTCCAGACAGGGTTTCTCTGTAGCTTTGGAGCCTATCCTGGCACTCGCTCTGGAGACCAGGCTGGCCTCGAACTCAGAGATCTGCCTGTCTCTGCCTCCCGAGTGCTGGGATTAAAGGTGTACACCACTAACGCCTGGCTAGATCCTAATTTTCAACAGAGAAATAGAACTTACCAAATCAAAGGGAAACCTGGCAACAAAAAGTAACTTAAATAAAGCATAACAAATATTTTTTGGTTTTTTGAGACAGGGTTTCCTTGTGTAATCCTGGTTGCCCTAGAACTCACTCTGTAGACTCAGAGATCTGCCTGCCTCTATCTTCTGAGTGCTGGGATAAGAAGCATGCATCACAACTGGGTTTTTTTTTTTTTTAATCTTTATCCATTTATTTTTGCTATCAAATGTTCTTTCCAGATTTTAGTACATGTGCTGCCAAAGCGAGCACTGTCAAATGTTATTAATGGTAAACCAGTCATAGAGAAGGCAGATCAAGGATCCAGGGAAGGTTTGAGACAGTGGATGGTATCAGTACTTGGTCTTTTGTCCTGGAACAAGCTCTTACAGATGGGGCTGGTCTCAAACTCACAAAGATCTGCCTGCCTCTGCCTCCTGAGTGCTGGGACTAACGGTGTGCACCACCACTGCCCGGCTGATACCAGTACTTGTGACTTGAAGTACAGAGGAGAAAAATAATATATGTGAGAAACAGGTAAAATGTAATGCCTGAATTTCCTCCCAAATAGACAAAAGATACCAACACATTTAAGAAGTTCAGGGAGCCACAGAATCTGTAAAATGCAGATTTTTAAATTATTGTTCCTAACTGTAGCACTTTTTAAAAAATAATTTATTTTTATTTCATTGCATTGATATTTTGCATGCATGCATGTATGTCTCTGTGAGGTTGTCACATCTTCAAATTACAGACAGGTGTGAGCTTCCATGTGTGTCCTGGGAATTGAACCCAGGTCCTCAGGAAGAGCAGCCAGTGCTCTTAACTGCTGAGTCATCTCTCCAGCCCTAGAATGCAGATTTTAGGACTCCTCACCTGTGTTTAATTTCTCCAGCAACAGAAAGCATTTGTTAGGAAATATGTAGGAGTGAAATTGCTTTAAATCTACATTTACAGACCAACCAAGGGCTGTCTTGAAAGCAAGACCTTGGGATAACAGTCGGGGGCCTGCTGATTTATTTTGAGCTGGAGTTCAAACCATTGTTCCTGTGGTAACCCAGAGTTGGGTGTCAGACCAAGTGGCTGGAGGAGGTCATGTAAAATTATGGCCCATTTAATATGGGCAATCAGTCAAGAATCAGGAAATTAAGGCTGGAGAGATGGCTCAGAGGTTAAGAGCACCGACTGCTCTTCCAGAGGTCCTGAGTTCAATTCCCAGCAACCACATGGTGACTGACAACCATCCGTTATGAGATCTGGTGCCCTAGTCTGGTGTGCAAATATATATGGAAGCAGAATGTTGTACACATAAATAAAATCTTTAAAAAAGAATCAGGAAATTAGTCCACAGTGGGGTGGACAGAAGTGCACAGGACTGTGAAATAGAACTGTGGAAAGAAGTTTTTTTTTTGTTTTTTTTTGTTTTTTTTCCCCGAAGCAGGGTTTCTCTGTGACTTTGGCGGCTGTCCTGGAACTAGCTCTTGTGGACCAGGCAGGTCTCGAACTCACAGAGATCCGCCTCCCTCTGCCTCCCGAGTGCTGGTATTAAAGGCGTGCACCACCACCACCACCACCACCAGGCTAGAAGTCTGTTTTATTCACTAACTGGATTTCAATCTAAGGGGACCCATTAAGGACCTATGATTTGCTTGGGATGGAGTTTCATTGGATTTTTTCTTCTACTTGTTTTTCTGTGGCACATACCCTTGAAAAAAATTTAGTGGGCTGTGTTTGTATTTTCCAGTAATCCCAAGGAAGAGGTAGAAAGATCAAGGCCATCAACTCCATAGTGACTTCAGGGCCAGCCTGGACTAAGACATGTTCTCATTAAAAATGACTTTACAATTATGTAAATCAACAATACATATTGTGGTGAAGTCACCTTTCAGATCTCAAAGTACACCATTTAACGAGACACTTGCTTTAGTTTATTCTGCCTGGGGGGAAAAATCATTTTTGGTGCTCGCCTTTAATCCCAGCACTCGGGAGGCAGAGGCAGGCAGATCTTTCAGAGTTTGAGGCCAGCCTGGTCGACAGAGCAAGTGCCAGGATAGGCTCCAAAGCTATGGAGAAACCCTGTCTCGAAAAAAAACAAAACAAAATTTTCTTTGAATACTTATCATTCACATATTAATCTCACCTCCCTGAAAAAGCTCTTCTGAAGGACTAGAGATGGTTCAGTGGTTACAAACTACTTCCTATCCAACCAAGAAGACAGTTCAAATCCCTGAGCCCACATTTGGTGACCCACAGAGGCCTTTTAACTCTAGCTCCAAGGCTTCTAATCCCCTCTTCTAGCCTTTGCAGACATCTGAACACGCAAATAAAATACTTGAAAAAGCTTTTCTGACCACTATGAATTAACCACCTAGTCAATCTTTAATAATATACCCCTCCTTTTTTTTTTTAACATAGGTTATCACTGTGCAGCTCTGGCTGGACTGTAACTCACAGAAATCTGCTTGTCTCTGCCTACAACTATTAGGATTAAAGGCATGAGCCACTACACCTAACATATTACCCTACTTTTAATATACTATGTACAAATAGCTTTACATTTTTTCTTCCTGTATTTTTCTCTTAATTTCCCTAAGACCAGTGTATAACAGATAAGGCCTCCAAATACAGTCTTTATGTACTATTTTCTTACTTTTCTCTAATTTTATTGTGTACAAAGCCACAGTCATTTAAAAGTACGTTAGCGCATGAGCCAGAGTATGTTAAGTTCAAGATCAGGTATTGTGAGTTCCACACCAGTGTGTGAAACAGATATGACATAAGCCATGTTTCAGTTTTTAAACTATTTTATTCTTGGACAGTTTCCTAGTGTACAATGAATTTTAGTTCTTTTTACATGCTACATTGTCTTATCCTCTCCTCCCACTGAAACTGTTCTTCCCAACAAATGGCTCTACTTGAATGTTTTTTGTTATTTTCGGTAGTGAAATGTGACTTGAACTCATTCTCCTGCCACAGCCTCCCAAGGATGGCACCACACTGAGTGTGTAATATTTTTTTGTTTTGTTTTATATTGCTGAGATGGAACCCAGCTACAGCC